GCACCATCTTACATTGGTGATCTTCTTAGTCCCTACACCCCCAGCAGGTCCCTGAGGTCCAGTGATCAAAGCCTACTGGTTGTGCAGCGCACCAGGCTAAAGACCAAAGGTGACAGATCATTTGCTGCTGTGGCCCCCAGACTCTGGAACTCTCTCCCCCTGAGCCTGAGATCAGTGGACTCAGTGGTCTCCTTTAAAAAGCAGCTGAAGACTCACTTGTTCAAGCTGGCTTTTGTATGACCTTCTTCACCGCTCTCTCTTTATTCTGCTCTCCCCACCTATTCCACCTTCCCCAGGATCCACTGATTTCCCTCTTTCCTATTCACTCTCTCTCTTTCTTAACATTTTTCTTTTAAATCGCAATTGCTTATTCTTGCTCATTTTAAATATATTTTTAAACATTTTTGAAATGCTTTTTTATATTTTTACAATTTTTATATTTTTTGTTTTTGTGAAGCGCCTCGTGATTTTTATCTTGAGAGGCGCTATAGAAATTATATTTTCTTCTTCTTCTTCTTTCTTCTTCTGTTTGCTAGTTAGGAAATATCTCATAATCTGGTTAAATGTGTATAATTTAATCCAAATTTAATTCAAAGCAGATTATGACTTAGACCTGTTTTCACCAGTTTAAATTTTTCTAGAAGATAAAAATAATAAAAAAGAGCAGTTTGATTTTATTTCATACCCAGGTAAGACACATATGTGTTTATCCGATGTACTCTGCTTTAATATGATAACTTCAAAGCTTGAGAGTCTATAAAGTAAGCCAAAATGTGTGATAAATGCAACACAATTTATTATAAGTTCACACTTTATGATTTTCTGTTTTTTGTTTAATAAAAGAAACAGAAATTTTTTTTAGCAAAACAGGACAGAATGGGTATTATATCACTATGTTCACATTTTCTTTACAAAACTCCCTAAAACAGCTGTTCTGTTGGTGGCAGGACAGTCTGTACTTAGCAAGGGAAGTTGGTTTACTGATGGTTTTGCAGCCAAATGAAATAGCCAATCGTACGACAGCCCTTCTAGCCTCCAGAGAGGCAGGATCTTCCTTTGACATTCTCCAATTCCAAATTATGCCCAGCAGCCAAAGCGAGGTCTACCCTTTTGAATGTCTATGGTTAACAGAATGTTTTAACCATGGCTTTACTTCTATTGAAATCTGGCACTAACTTTAACATTCATCAGACAAAATATGAGTGAGTTCAGTTCACATTCACCAAAAGTATGAGCAAGTTCACTGAACTCGCTCGGGCACAATTTAGCACCACTACTGTTTGGATTTGGAATTGCATTTACCTACAATTTGATCATTGTGCAAAGGACAGATGGCCCTTCAGGGGGCCACTCAGATTTCAGCAGTGGGCAATGCCCCTGTGGCCCAACCCCTATAACTGCGAATGCCACAGGGTGACCACCAAATACAGTTTTAATACAAATACATTTTCAAGTTTAACCCCTCTGTTGTGTTAGGGTCAAAATTGACCCGTTTTCAAGTTTAACTGTGTAAAAAGTACACTTTCCTTTTTTATCCTGGAATGATGCTTCATCTAATTCTCAGACACACCTATTTAAATGCAGCAAAATTAATTTTCACATTTTTAGTAAATTCTAAAGGTCTCAAAAAATAAATCGTTACATCTGTGGTGTTACTGGTCCAAAATGACCCGGCCAGTGGCGGTTCCACATGGAACTACTCCCCGGGCGAGGCCCCCTTTGGGACCCCACCCCCACCACCACCACCACCACCACCACCACACCACCCCACCTGCACGAACACATGCATGTTTTCTACAAACAGGCATGTTTTATTAGAACGACTATTGAACATTCATTTTTCTAAGTTGCACATATTTACATTAATTACTATGAAGTTGTCAGAATGTAAAGCAATATACATTATATACTGTATCAAAATATATAGAATCAAATATACAAAAACATACAATAACTAAATATTAAAAATATATGAACATAATATATAATAAATATTCTAAATAGCAAAAATATTTCACACATAACAAACTAAAGATAATCACTACAGCACTGCACTTACAACAGAAAACACAAACTAAAATTAAAACCTAACCTTGATGCAAAGTCATCAATAATGTCATCATATGAAATCTGCTCCCCTACTGAGTGATTGATACTAATCAGAGCCAGGTTAGTGAGCCACCCCTGAAACATAGGTGACCTCAGGTATGACTTGATCAAGTTTTGAAAAGCTCCTCTCAGCTTGAGCCATAGTGACTGGCAGAGCAGTCCAAAAGTTGGGGTAGATCTCCAATAGATCTTTATCATGATCCTTAATATTTTAGAATTGCCTCTGAAATTGTAATTTAAACTGACATAAAAGAAACTGTAGACTACCAAAAATGCCAACTTTTACAGAACAAATCATGTAAAAAATAATCAGTGCAGCCATCTGCAATAAATAAACAGGATAGTTAGTGGTGACTGGGGAGTTTTCTTCTGCTTGTAGAGTTGTTTATTTATTATTATGTGAACATGATCAACATGTGTTTGTTGTTGTTCAGGCAGGCCACAGGCTGCAGCGAGCATTTAACAAATCCTAGTTTGAATCAGTAAAAAATGATTCAAGGGATTTTTTCGAACCATTTGAATATTCGTTTCAATATTTCAGCCCTATTAGCTCTGTTAGCAATTAGTTGACCGAATTTAACCGTTAAAATCCCAGTTAACTGGTTAAAAAATTGAAAACATGCATCATGAGAGCGTACATACCTTTATCTTTCTCCTCTTTTTTTTTTCCTGAATCAGGAACCTGGTGGTTTTAGCCTTTTTATGTTCATCTCTTCTGTTTGGCTCTTGACTCAATAAGTTTCCTTTAGTCAGGACTACACAATTTGACCTTGATGGGGGGGGGGGGGGGGGGGTGACCACAAAATCGTTTTGTTTTTCCTTATTTTATTCGGCCATTTCACACAATTCAGAAAAACCTGAAAGAACGATAGGCCTGTGTATATGATATTATGAATGAAATGGGCGTTGAATGGAAGAACATCAAGATGTGATTGACTTTAGCCATGTCAATACAGTTTATTCAGCCCCTAACCATTTGGGAAGACCCAGAGGTGAATTCCCCCGCCGCACCCCTCCCCTTCCTCTTCTTCTTACACACACGGTGCACCTGAACCTTCAGTCAGCAGGAGCGCCTGCAGCTGCAGGGGGTGCCTAGCCTAGTGAACTAGACCAAATTCTTGCATTGCAAAGTTTGGTCTAGGCACACTCCATTGGAACCTCCGCAGCTCCTACCAGGACTCTGGCTAGCCAATCACAGCTCTCTAGAGGGGTTTCAAACACATAGAGCTGTGATTGGTCCATAATGGTGGGCCAATCATAGTGTAGGGGGCGCCAACTTGCTGTTTCCAATCCAGACACTGTGATATGACAGATAATAGAAAACCTCGGTGCGGCGCAGATTTCTTTCTTTTTTATTTTTTACTCAGCGCTTGTGCGCCCCTTTTGTGTCATGAAAAAATGCCGCCCTGGGCAACTGCCTTGTCTGCCCGTGCCTAAAACCGCTACTGGACCCGGCAGAGAAAACTGGCTGTTGTATGCATCACGTAACCCTCTCAGGCTCAAAATAAGTTTTGATAAAAGGACAAAACACTAAGTCTTTCAGAGGTACTTCTGAGTTAAAAAATGCTCATGAAATACATATGTGGAGTAACCAGGTAGGTTGGTTTCAACATTGCAAATCTGCGATGCCTGCCTCCAGAGGGTTAAAAGCTATGGGTTGCTCTGAGGATCAATTATGGCTCAATGTGCACAGTTATGGCCCACATCACCAACACACACACACACACACACACACACACACACACACACGTTATGATTTGTTTTAATTGTTTCCATTGTTTAGATTATGGTTAATTCAGAACAACATACCTGCGCTAACACCATATTGTTTTCAATGTTCAGTTTATGGTCAATGCAGGTGTAGGAGCGCACACACAACCACACACACTGTGTTATTTATCATTGTTCATTTTATGGTTAAATTGTTTGGTTAATTGGTCTGGTTAAATAAAAGTTGGTTTCATGGAAAAAAAATTGACTTGTCTTTATCCTACCATTTATCTATGCGGGTCCGTTTTGACCAGAAACACCAAAGATGTCACTATTGTTAATAATTTTAAATATTAAAAAAATTATACATTTTTTTTGGTAAGTGTACTGTAATATTAGGTTATAACACATTTATAGTTTATTATTACTCATTCTATAGGAAAAAATATATATTTAGTGAATTTAAACAGTTTTTGCAATCAAAAACGAGTGGTATATGTGTCTGTGGAGCCAACTAAAAAAGTATTCACACACTGGTTCCATTTATATAAATACACACTAAGCCAGCAATTAGCTGAAAAAAAAAACAACATTTGAAGAAAACTGGTGATTTTAAGCATTTTCAAGCATTTTTAAATCATGGGTCCAAATGGACCCGCTAACACCACAGGTGTAAACAGCTTTCTAACACAATAAAAGGGTTAAAAACTAGGTAAAAATGTACCACGGTAACAATTTAAGCCGTATTACTCCAGTAAAATAAACCAATACAGCATTATTTTGGTACTAAACCTCCATCACGTCACACAGTCCTCAACAACAACAAGACACCACATTAAACAGGAAGTGGCTGAGAGAATGTAAAAAAAAAAATCCCACAATTGAACTTTAACCAAATTGTAATTTTATATGTTATCTACATACAAAACACAGTTACATCTTGAAATGAAACCATAAAAACTTTAAGTGTAAACATGATATTCCTACTACTAAAAGAAGATGAAAATTTGAACATTTGTGACAAATTCAAACACTAGACAACAAAATTAAAGTTCTTGAAATCTTGGCAAAACATCAGTCTAAATATGTGTTTTGGTCCTTTTTCATGAACTGAATTTAGCTGTTTGAAAAGCTCTTTAATGAAGGAGACATCAGGCTGAGCAGGTGAAAGAAAGACTCACCTCTCTTGATGTGTTTGAGTTGTCTCTGGGCCTCGTCCCTCTCCTCGGTCAGTCGGCTGCACTGTGGGAGCAGACAGCAGGTCAAACTCTTAGATCGGATTTCACAAGAACACAGGTCGTCAATACCAACGGACAGAATTACGCGGAGACACGGGCAAAACTATGTCAGGATTAGGATAGTGAAAACTTCTAAGATGTCACACTTTAAGAGGTAAAGATGACAAATAGATCATCTGAAGATAAAGGATTTTTATTATTTAATTAAAATACAACAAAGTGCAGAGGCCCTGTCCATTTAGAGTCTATGGTTCTGAGAGCTCTATTTCTTTACTTTCCAGTTCTTTTTCATCGTGTTGAAAGCAGCTCTGGATTTGTTGAAATGAGATTTTACAATGCAGATGGGTATGTCTGAGATTAACATAGCTTCAAATCTCAATAGTTTGTGTGATGTTTTATAAACCTGGTGATTTACATGGAGTTATGTGGTTATTCACATCCATAATTATCACTCTAAACACAACACTTCTGGAGTATCCAGTGGTTCAGTTCAGCAGGAATTTCTTATTGTTTTGAAGTCCTGAAAGACGTAAACAGATGATGTTCAAGGCTTATCTACAACTGGTACCATTGGATTTATTTATAACTTTTATAGAAAAACACATTTCAAAGGTCTGTTCCAAACTAGAGTTCATCTCTCTAGAATATTCCTTTTTACACTGATTTGTCTATATTCCTGTATGCATGGATATTCGTGCAGATGTTCTCCAATTAATGATTTCGAGTTTTCAAATGCGGCCTTTTATCTTATTTATTATGCTTTTATGTATCTGCTCTTGTGTGCTTTCATTGGTTGTCTCTTCTTTTATCAGGTTAAATGTAATTGTCTTATTTTCTCTTTGCATTACATATGAGAAATCTCAGCTAGGTCATATTTGTGAATGAGAACATTTTCTCAGAAGGCTTGGTGGAGAAAGGCTCATGGCAGCTTGGTTCAGGATGAGAAAATTAGACCTAAACATACCACAAGACTTCTGGAGCTAAGTGAATATCTTCACCCATAATGCACAGCAGCACATTCAGAGGGAAAACAAACCGATGATCTAAGTTATCAGTTCTGTAGTGGTGATGAATCAGACTTGGAGGTCAGATAACAGACTGAGTACTGATGTAAACAGGTGTTTCAGCATGTTTTGTTTTGCTTTAGCAGAGGATAAAATGCAGTAGAAGCAGAACTCAGTCGACTCCCCTCCCTGCTGGATGGTGCATGGTTCATCTTCCTCGTCTTCAAATTGGCTTCAGTAAGGAAACAGACAGCCCATCAGAACCCATATCAGACTGACTCACTCTGCTGACTGGACGACTGTCCTACAAAAAGATTCTGGAACTGTTCGGTTTCACTTCCTCTGGATACAGTGTTCTTTTATGTCCTATTTTTAGAACAAGTAACTGTGGAGGAGTTGGAACGCTGGGGAGATGAAGCCTGAGTGGATTAAACAGCAGCTTTGTGCTTCAGTAGAAGACAACTGACACATATATTTAATCTCCTTTACAGACTAGCTCACATATGAATCAAACGATGAACATCATCTTCTCTGTTCACATGATTGCCTGTTTTTGCTCTGCAGGACAGATGCAGAGTGGGACTCTGAACGACCATGGTCGATAGTGGAGTTTCTGCAGCGCCGCTCTGCTCTCCACACGCTTCATTTGAAATGGTAATTGGAACTCGTAAAGAATTCAGTGACCTCCTGTACAGCAAAAACAATAGTGTGGTCGGAGAAAATTGTCCCTCTGGGTTCAAACAACCTCCAAAGAACACTGAATGTCTACAAGGTTGTTTTCTAGAGCAAAGCAGAAAACAAACAAAAAAAACAAACTAATTCCATTTTTTGTTCTTTTTAAAACACAGGAAAGGTTTTTCTTTACCTGCTAACGTTTTGTTTACGGCAGCAAACATCGTCAGAGCTGACGCTGATGGTGGCGTCACTTCCTTCTCCATTTATCTGCGGGCAGCAGAGGACGTTGTCGCCCTTTGCTGCCCACTCTCCCCTCTCCGATGATGCAGTCCCATGCACGATCCAACGAGTAAACTCCATCGTCTCTGTTCATGGTCCCACATCCACGTCTCCTTATCTTGATAGCTTCTTTTATCCATCTTTTGTTTTTCTGTTGTTCGGTGTTTATGATCCTTGTGTTGTCCCAGTCCATTATATGGTTTTCTCTTATGCAGTGACCTGTTACAGCTAACTTCTTTATTGTGCTTTCTGCTTCTTGTTTTGCTGCTCTTGTGTGTTTTCGACTTGCCTCTTTCTCGCACTCCTTTCTATGTTCTATTGTTCGTGTGCTGAGTTGGCGTCCGGTTTCTCCTATGTATGTTTTATTGCAGAGTTTGCATGGGATTTCGTAAATCACTCCACATTTAAGTCCAGCCGGTATCTTGTCTTTTGGGTGTACTAGTCTGTTTCTAACTATTGTGTATGGTTGGCGGGCAGCAGAGGGCGCCAACGTCCTCTGCTGCCTGCGGATAAACGGAGAAGGAAGTGATGCCACCATCAACGTCAGCTCTGACGATGTTTGCAGCCACAAACGAAACGTTAGCAGTTAAAGAAAAAACCTTTCCTGTGTTTTAAAAAGAACTAAAAATGGAATTAGAAACTAGACACAGAAAGAAAAAACCAAAGATGTTTAAAGAAAAATACGGACAACAAGGAACAAAGGACTTCCGTCGTTTGGAACGTTTACATCAAAAACGCGCACGTCTTAGAAACCACCTTCGCTTCAATTTAAGATGCCGGAACGAAAACATCATGCTAACAAGCCTACAGCTGAAAACACCAATCCAGACCAAGACAGCACAGAACATAATGGAAAGAGCACAGACAGCACTACTCAAAGAAAGGATAAGAAACGTCATAACCAAACAGAAGCAAGTGGAAAACAAATTGGAAAGAAGACACCTGGACTTAAAAAGGAATTACAAACTTGATGAACAAACGGAGGAACTAATTAAAGGACACATGATGGAAAAACAGGAAAAAGAGTTCATAAAAGTAAAAGAAAGACACATAAAAAAAGTTAAACAAACTCATCAACAAGAAAAAGAGCAAAGAAATACAAGGTAACTCCACACCAAACTCATGGGTACATAACCTTTCACAATACGAACTAAGAGAAGCAGAAGAAAGCATTTTAAAAAAAGGTTTAAACTTTGCAGTCACACCAAAGAAAATACCATATGATGAATTTATCGTAGCAACAGAACTAGCATGTCAACAGATCACAGATGAGGGAAAGAAAGCAGAACTTAGAAATAACGTTGATGGGATATTAAAGAAAAGCAAAATTCAACACAGCAATATTACAAAAGAAGAACAATCAGCCATGACAGCTTTATCCAAAAATGAACAGATAATTATTCTACCGGCAGACAAAGGAAGAACCACAGTGGTAATGGACAAAGAAAAATATAAACAACAGATGAAACAGATGCTAGAGGACAAAAATACATACAAAATACTTTAAAAAAGACCCAACAGAAAACATTAAGAAAAATATGAAAAAATTACTGAAGCCACTACAAGAAAAAGGCAAAATAACAGAAAAAATGTACAAACACTGGATTCCTACAGCAAACATAATACCAAGAATCTATGGAACACCAAAAATACACAAACAAAACACTCCACTTAGACCAATAGTTGACAGCATAGGTACACCATCATACAACATGGCAAAAGAAGTCAGCTAAATCATCAGCCCGTTATTAGGTAACACAGATCAACACTGCAAAAATAGCACAGAACTGGCAGAAGAACTAAGAAAGATTAAAATAGAACAGCGGTTCCCAAATTTATTTAGCCGCGCACCACCTTCTATGCCCCGACCATGTTGACGCACCCCCCAGCCCCCACATCAGGGCATGGCTATATATATATATATATATATATATATATATATATATATATATATATATATATATATATATATATATATATATATATATATATATATATATATATATATATATATATATATATCAGACATCAAGCTAAACAGACAGGGTTAAAAAAATATGATCGACCTTTACCCCATCACTTTCATTTTTTTAAATAGTAATTAATAAGCATTCGATTCCATTACAATTTCCTTTGATTTAATTTTAAATAAATATTTAGAGTGCCCAGGTAGCACATAAACAATGCAATTTAAATGTTTAACCTGTGGCGCCAGCTCTCTCCTTCCTTCTGCTCTGCATAAACCTGAGCTGATCACCTACTTGTGCGTAATCAAATGTCTATAGGGGAAAAGATGGAAAAGATATAGCCATGAGGTTCACTTTTGCCTCAGACCAACTTATTGCTGTTTTATGGTGTGGCTGAATCTGCGATCCGCTGCCACGCGGACTGGAACAACAAATGCTGCAGTAACATGAGTTGTAGTCAGGTTCATGAGGAGTCACTAGCTGGAGCGGACCCGACTTTAGTACGTCATCCCAAAATAGAAGCTAATATCTTAATTTGACTTGGAATGAAAAATGTTATAAAACCTCTTAAAAGTTTTTATCACAGAGGAGGCAGCGCTCATTTCTGCTTTCAGTCTGACGACGCGGCGGAGTTTGCGCAGCGTGCGCGCTTATTGAATCTGTGTGTGTGTGTGTGTGTGTGTGTGTGTGTGCGCGCGCGCGCGCACACGGCACAGCTCCATGAGCTGCTCCAGTCACAGCGTCTCGTTACTGGCGCTATTTAAACCAATGTTGTAAAATTACTTCTGCCCAGCCCAGATGTGCTCACTTGTACACCCGTGAGCCGTGGTTCCGCTGGAACGCGTCTGACCTCTGACAGACGCACTCTGAACTTCAGATCTTCAGCGCGCTGTTAATAGCCTGACACGTTTAGAATGCTGTCCCACAGTCAGTGTGCCAATATAATAATATAATAATGCTAAAATGCTCAGATGGGAATCATTTCTTGATTTATTTTGTTACATCCCGAATGTTCTGTGTGTGAGGTTTACAATGTCAGAACACCTGCATGAGACAGGTGTTAATTACAATCTGCCAGA